TTTGAGTTTGGGCAAGGACACAGGGGCCCCATGATCCCCTCTTGCCCAGAGATCCCATGAGTTGTCAGTCCGCCCCTGGTCATACATATATTATTGTGCTCACTAGAATTGCAGCCTTACCTCACAGTCTCCACTTTAGACTCCTGTTACTACATGGGTGCACTGGCCTACTCCTTACATGCACCAATGTCATCCCCCATCCGCTGACAATGTTCACTGCCACCAATGTGTCATCAGTGGTGCAGTCGTGCAAACTACAGAGTAGCCTGTATGGCCACCAGCTTGAAATTATTATTATTCAGTATTTATAAAGCGCCAATAGTTCGCTCAGCGCTGTACATTACAAAGGGGGACAGAACAATAACAATACAATACAATGCAAAACATGAGGGGATCGAGGGCCCTGCTCTTTCGAGCTTACAATCTAGGAGGGAGGGGATGGTGGCACAGGAGGAGAAAGCTGTGGGGAATGGAGTGGTAGGAAGAGAGGAGGAGGTCGGCAAGTTAGCAGGGGGTGGGGTAGGCTTCCCTGAAGAGGTGGGTTTTCAGGGTGCGCCTAAAGGAGAGGAGAGTAGGTGATAATCTGATGGGTTGGGGCAGGGAGTTCCAGAGGATGGGTGACACCCTGGAGAAGTCCTGGAGGCGGGGGCATGGGAGGAGGAGACCAGGGAACTAGAGAGAAGGAGGTCTTGTGAGGAGCGGAGTGTGCGTGCTGGGTGGTACTTGGATATTAGGTCGGTGATGTAGTTCGGGGCAGTATGATGGACAGCTTTGTACGTCAGTGTTAGGATTTTGAATTTGATCCGTTGCGCAATCGGAAGCCAGTGGAGGGATTGGCAGAGGGGGGTGGCGTAAACGGAGCGGTTGGTGAGGTGAATGAGTCTGGCAGTTGTATTCAGGATCGACTGAAATGGGGATAGCCAGCGGCGAACTATTGGTTTTATATCTCATGTATAAAATATGTAAAATAGATATCATAGAGATATATAATATATATATATATATATATATATATATATATATATATAATACAAAGCAGGACCTATACACATATATATGTTATAATTTAGATTTCCTCTTTGTTTCTGAAGAAGAAAGCGAAACGCGTTGAGATTAAGCCACTACCCTCATTCGTTAAATATGTGAAGTGGACTTTCAAAATAAGTGTATGCTTATACTGTATATGGTTAAACTATATGGGTGGAATGTATAAACATACTTTTGTACATTCGTAGGTAGCTGAGAGGTAAAAAAAAACTGTTACATCTGTATCTATGTTTTAAAATGTATGTAAAGTACTAAGTATGACAAAACTTTCTTTAATGGGTATCTGTGAAAGAAACACCCAAAGTTGTAATAACGAATAATTATGATATCTCATTTGATAGTCGGCCATTTCTGGCTTGGCACTTTAAAAGTCCCATCTTCATGTAAGGGATGGAGTAATGTGTTAATAAATTATTTTGTGGCTATATTAATCCAATTTACACTGAACACAGATTTTGGGGTCATTATTTCACCATTCTATGTCTTGAGAGTTTTAAAAAACTGTTGCCTTTCTGTAAAATTATAGCATGACAGCAGAGCTTGTTTTTTTTATCCTTTTTTTTTTGCATTATTTGATAGCAGCTGGCTCTTCTATAGATAATTAGGTCTATCCAAAACAGAAGTGGCATAAAGCCTCTAAAAAGGGATTTTACGTAACACATGGAAACAGATGCTATTTTCTCCAGCCAGAAATCTGAAGGATACAGCTAAGTACATTTAGTATAACTAATAGCTTAAAGCTGGACTTCAGGCAAATATAAAAAACACCAAATAATGACGTTTTCTATTCATATAAAAAGAATTAAATGCATTTTAAATGAATCTAATGTTAGTATCTGAATCTGTCTTGATGTCAGCTTACTGTAATTCCCGCACACTGGAACTCCTATGCGGGCCATACATGGATCAAAATTCAGCTGGTTCAGCAGGGACCGGAAGAATTTTGATCTATGTATGGGCTGGCTGGTTGTACAAAAGTCAATCTATCAAGACACCCAGTTAGATTTTTTTTTTCATCCATTTATAGCTCTTTTATACTTTTCATGAAGTGCTAAGGATTTATTATAAGGACAACCCATTGGATAAATTTTTGATTTTGGGGTCCATTCATACCAGGTGCAATTCCAGCATAGTCCCACCACACCCGCACTGCAAGAGAAGGTAAAATTCCTTGTCTCTGGCGTGGCCGGTTCACTGTGTTGTGGTGGTGTACGTTGAAAAAAAGTAATTCGTTCATTACTTTTTTCCAGTGCAGTGTGGGTCACCACACGCCGGCCAATAGAACTCTATGAAATGTCACTTTCTGACATTTCAATCAAATTTTTTTTAAAAAAGAGTAACAGCACTAGGATTGGTGCATCAACATTGCAACTGTCCGGCTGGACCACATCGCACACCAGCCGCTGCTTTTGAAACAAAGCGTCAGGTGTGAATGGACCCAATAATGTTACTGTTTCCTTTTTTAATCATATTTCATGTAATATGTGAAAATAAATTACTGACTGCCACTCCCTTCCAGTGCCCATTTTATTGTATAACACATACAGTATATATACAAAATAGAAATTAGTTTTAGAAAATAGAAAGTTATAAAGGCTAAATTTTTTTCCTAAAATAAAAGAAGGTATACTTTCCTGCTCTGTGCAATGGTATTGCACAGAGCAGTCTTTTTCCTCCTCTTCTGGTGTTCTCTACTCTGCTTCTCCTGTGAGACAGCTGCGAAAGCGTGCTCCTGAGCTGGGCTGTGTGTGTCCAAAGAAACACACAGTGTGGCTGGGCCCTGTCCTCTGCTCCCTGATCACAGGATTTGATTGCCAGAAGCAGGAGCCAATGGTTCCTGCTGCTTCCTCTGTGTCCTGTGAGAAGAGGAATGGGAGAGTGCTGCTGCAGATGGGCTCAACACTGGATTGAGGAGGGACTTTGGTTAGTGTTTAGGAAGGTGGGCGGTGGAGTGGGGGGCAATGAGCTACTTGGTCCTGACATTAGAACCACTTTAAATATCTTACAAGAAACATTTTACATGCACAAAATTACCACAACCTGCAACAACTCAAAAAAGAACCCTGTTCACTAATGGTTTATATATATATATATATATATATATATATACATATTTTTTTTTTTTAACTAGTTTTAAATATCTAAATATCTAACTTGTTAAACTAAGGATTAATAGAAGCAACTTTTCTTCTTTACTTTTTTTATAAAGGTTGGGTATTTGGTGAGATAGTCCTTCACTTCCTGTCTTGGTGACATTGTTTTCAGGGTAAATCTCTAACATGAATGCACACAGCAGTACCATACACAGTAGAGTACCATACCATGATGATTTTATGGTTATTGTATGAATAAAGTAATTTTTCATGGGATGCAGTTACATTTTTTTCTTAGAACACATGTAGATATAGAAAAAAATATTTCTGTATTGGTCTGAAGTATTTCATAAAGCCAGGTTTTGGTTCTAGTGGACAATAGTCATGATAGTTACTATTCCCTGTAAAGTGTAGCGAACCTCTAGTTAGCCAGGAAGAGCTGGCTAGGCAGAGACTGAATAGCAGCCTAGGTATCAGTCAGTCAGGTCACCTTGGGTCAGGGCTCTGCAGATCAGTTGCCTGATACCTCCCCCTGCTCTAGAGACTTCAGAAGTTTCTAGAAGGCAGTGGGTGTGGTGAGGAGGGGTTAATCTGCATGTCTGAGGGACCCGGACCAATCCCCAAGCAGGAGGCTTGACATGGGGCCAGGACAGCCATCAGATATGATTGAACCTGATCAGCAGAAAGTGATCAGAGTGTAATGAGTTTAAGATGGAGTAGGAGGTTGGAGTATAGAGCCTGGTGGGGGCCCAGGGAATGGACCTACCTACAGGCAGGTGCATGAAGAGGGGATCTCCACTGGGCCACCGTCTACTAAGAAGGTCAGCCTGAGCAGCAGGGAAGGAGCCAGCCCAGCAGAAGGCCTGAAGGCAGCCACCAACCCAAAAAGCTATCAGGAAGGACAGTGTGAGTAACCTTACACCCCCCTGAGCCAGATATCAGGGGTTAGGTGAAAAACCCAACTAGCTCTGATAGACGCGTCGGGAAGATTGACTTCAAGCTCCTTTGGCAGATTTGGCTCCCTGTCCAAAGACTTGTACATAGTTTGCTATCACAGTTGACAGTTCCTTGGGCATCCCATGCACCCCTCAACCACATCCACATTTATTACCCCTTAATAAAATCAAGTGTGGAGGAAGAAAATGCGTATTGCCTGGTTGTGCAGGCCTGTAGGAGGACCCAAAAAACTTAGTGACTCCTAAGGGGGTTGTGCTACAAAAGTGTACAATTTTATTTATTTATATGTGATTGCTTTTAAGGTTTATTTGAGCTCTTTTTTGGTTTATATTTTGTTAGAATCGGCACTGGTTGCACCCAAATGTTCTGCACCAATTCTAAACATAATGTACCTCATATTAAAGCTGAATTCCAAGAATTCACCAACTTTGTAAAAAAGTGAAGGCACTCTATGAGTCAAGTCCAACAAGGGGCCTACCACCTCCTGGGCATATCTGTATTATTTATATCTGTCAGCTTTATTGTGCTGCAGCATCATAGCCCCTGGAGCTGAAGCTGGACACAGCTGGTCTCAGCCCCTTCAAGTGGAGAGTCGCTGCAGTTACTATGCCAGCCCTTCCTCCCTCCTGTCTAATCACAGAAGCCTTTGTATGTGTGAACTCATTCACAAAATACAAAGGCTTCTGTGAATGGGTAGCAGAGGGAAGGAGCTGGCAAAGCTGTTCTCTGTGCTTCTCTCCTCTCTCACAAACTCAAGTATGGAGTGTATCTTCTAACAGAGCCATTAACCTGTTGGATACAAATAAGAGATAATCTCAGGATGTGGCTGGCAGCTATTAAGAATTAATGGCATCCCTGCGCTTCTGCTAAACGGCAGCGCATTTTTGCTGAAGATGACCGTGATTGCGGGAACACATGTGGTCAGGGGCGGACTGACCATTTGGAAACTCGGGCACTGCCCGAGGCCCGGGGTCGGTAGGGGGCCCCATGAGATGCCCCTGGTACCTTTTTCATAGGCTTTTTAGAATTTGGGCAAGGACACAGGGGCCCCATGATCCCCTATTGCCCGGGGGCCCCATGAGTTGTCAGTCCGCCCCTGCATGTGGTTTATGCTTTCCTGCACCTGCAATAGTGTGAACCTACCTTAGGCTAACACAAATCCACAGCTCTTTTTTTTTTTTTTTTTGCTGCCGTTGAGGTCTTTTCTATACCTGACAAGAAAAACAAGTTATACGTAAAGAAATTCATATGTCACATTTTCTGACCTGTATTAGGTTAGCTAGTTATACTGTCAAACCTCCTGCAGTTCCACACGGAGATTACATTCATAAATATTAATGAAAAATATATAAAATGAAAACGTATTTTTAAGAAAATATATTATGGAGCCAGAGCTTTTTAAGAGAAGACATTTTTAAGTTTAAAAATCAGTATATGTTTATGAGTGAGGGACGTGTACCTTGTAATAAACTGATATTTTTAGAATCTTGAATCATTATTACCCAAATCGCTACATGAAGAGGATCATAGAGACATCATTCACTGATGGATTTCTTCTCAGAGATGTATGGAAGGTCTGGATGTCATACTACACAACGTCAATGCATAAATGTCCGCAGTTTATGCTGCACTGGATTGGATGGATAAGGAGTGCCATTGATGTTATTATTATGGAGGGTTAAGGACAATGAATGCTAAAAAAGGTGTTAGATATATGGGGGCAAGGGGGGTGGAGTTCCAACTCATATCTTTACATCAGAGTTCCCTTAAAGTGGACCTGAAAAGCAGTACCCTGAACAATTACTTCTGTGTTGAATTCCTACTGAAAAACAGCATGAAAATGAGTCTACTGGGCACATACTGGGCTCTGAGGAAAGGGACACGTCCCCGAAACGTGTCAGCAGGCCAACCATACCACCATTCGGACACTCTGCCATCATTTCGGCCATCTCTGTGGCCTTACAGACTTTATATATGCGCTAAGTTTTTGAGTATGTTTTTTGTGTTTTTATACTTTTTAATAAACCTTGGATAATACGCTAGGTGTCTGTGCCACCTGTGTGCTTTCTTCCAGTTCATTGATCTCTCCATCTGAGGAGGGCTGCATCTCCGGGACTTTATCCATAGGTCATTCACACACCAGATCCCCTGGCCTCTCCCTGGTATTGACCCCTCCGAGGCGCTGGAGAGTTGGCACTTTTGTCCTACAGCTTCATAGCTGTATATCTGTTGTCCGAGATCAAAGGCACTGCTGTGTGAGATTTAGGCTTGTTTCATAACGACGTGAGCATATTTTTATCTGACTTTCAGTGCAATTATGTAGTGCAAATCAGATGCTACTTGGATGTGGTTTGCATATTCTGGTACCAAAAGTGAGCTGGAATTGCACCAAAGTAGTTCAGGAACCTTTTCCAAAGGTTCCACCCCATGCTGAGTTGCACTGATGTGAAAGGGCACCATTGAAAACAATGTGATTTCCATTGTCATACGAGTATGTGGGACTCAAGTCGCATCTGAAATCGCATTAGTGTGAACGAATCCTAAGTGATGGCAGTACTGCGCTGTTCGCTATCTCTGCTTCCTGGAGAGAAGGTTGTACCTGAGGAGCAGTAGACAAACATCAGCTTGATGCTGATTAAACACCATAATTCATATGATGCCTCCATCCTTGACAAATAACATGGATGGATGAAACTGCAGTGTCTACTATTGTATTCTGACAGCCGCCATCTGCAGTTATCAGAATACCAGCACAGTGCCTGCATCAGATTGTCAGGACCCAGATCCAATCCTGGGACCAATGTCTGGTTGTGGCTCTTCTTGCTGCACCACCTGAAATGCTAGACCGCTCGCTGTCTGGTCCCGTTGACATTCCTGCTTTATAACTTGTCTTAGTTGAACCTTGAACTCTTTGCTCTTCCCTTGAACTGCCTATTTAAGCCATGTCTCTGCACTTCCTGTTTGCCAGATTTTTGTGCTCTCTCCAGCTGATATCTTGCTCCTTTCTGCTGCTGTCCTGCACTTTGCTACCACTTGTTACAGACCCTTAGCTTGTTCATCGACTACGCCTCTACCTGATCCCAGCCAGCTACTAGTTATTTAGCACTACCCTCGTGAGGGCCGCTGTGTTGTGGGAACTCCTAAGCTCTTCCTTTCTATGTACAGAAACAGATCCTGGACTATTTTTTCCTTGAAAGCTGTCAGTTGTTGCAGATCAGTAGCAACAACTGTGGGCAAGGGACTAGCAGCCCCTCAATAATCAGCGTAGCTTCTTGTAACTACATGCAGAGATGTCACCTCTCTCCCTGTAGAACTGCTCCCAGCTCCACAGCCTGTAGACACTACCAGCCCTCCTGGCTGCTCTGAAGATCTCCTGGGACAAGGATAAAGGATTGATCCCAGCGCTGTCCTTTGAAAGCTTACTACATGTGACAGTCTTTCCCCCGGTGGATCCCAGGGTGTGCTGATGTACTCATTCTGTCCTCTTTGTTCCACTGCTCCAGGGCTTGATCCCATTCATGCTGCACTGCTGAATGTATCCTCCTGAGCCAGCCTGAGCCCAGGCTGCAGGCTGCCCCCCCAGACCTCCGGGACACCTCCCAGGCACTAACAGCACTCCATCTTTCACCCAACTCCTTTATCAGCCTGGCTCTCCCATATTCATGGGCCAGTCCACCACTCTACCAGGGCCTCCAAATATGGGACTGACCAGACTCTCGCAAACATGCAGATTAGTTCTCCACCCCTTCTTGCTTACCAACTTCTGGATGGTTCCATGGTCCTCCAGAGTCAGGAGGAGGTCATGGAACCACAACCTGTCAAATCATCCAGCTGACCTGCATTAACTCAACCTCAATCACAGACTCACACAGTTACCATTAGTCATACATGGGTGAGCCTGCGTCATATGCTAGGGGAGCTTGTGAACCTCTCTACTGCTACAGCCCAAGACATTGATTGGTTGCATTCACTGTTTGCCAGGAACCTTTTTGCTTGCATCCTTTGACAAAAGCCAATTGAAAAGTCGACTTTTGTAGAAGCATGTGTCAGCAAAACCCATGGAAAGGAATTGAGCCAGTTCAGGGATCCTGTGGCTCTGTGCTTCCTACTGCTGCTTTATACATATTCTCCCACCAGTAATCATTGGGGCAGTTGTGTCCTGAGGAAGCAAAGTCCTATCTCTACCAAGATGGTCACATTCATACAGAGACACAGTGCAGAACAAAGTATTGTAGGTCATTAATGGGGAAAAGATCAGCTCCAAGCAGACCTAAGGCAATACTGGTGACTAGTCTTTGGCGCTTTTCTTGTCTCCTTTTGACCTTCCACAGTTTAGGTCCTCTTTAAAGTGGATCTAAACTCCAAAAGTGAATATTGTCTTAGTTGTAGGGAACATATAGAATTGTTAATTGTGCCTAAGCAGTTCCCTGAAAAAAGTACATATTGTATTGAATTCCTCCTAAAAAATCCCACTGTAGCTCCTGGAATTATTGTACCTTGGCACCCGTGAACCTAAAGCCTTACAGCTGTATATCTGCAGTTTGAGATCTAAAGCACTGTTGCCTCTAACCACAAGTCTCATGGGATTTAAAGTAAGATTTGGTAATATCACTACTGTGCTACGCTCCATCATCCTGTTGGAGGCTCCGACACATGAAAGAAAAATCTTGCCTCTACCAAAACGGCTGCCTCCACAGAAGGCCACAGAACAGAACAAGGCATGGTGAGTCAGTGGGAAAAAGATAGGCTGGGGACAGCTATCAGAGTTCAGTTCCATTTTAAGGCTGTAACTAAAATTCAACTTTTTTATTTTCCAAAATGTATCCACTGCCAGCACTTTGTGCAAAAGTTTACTGAACTATTTCCTTCATTCTATATCTCTGCATGAGCTTACAGCCTAATGCTTCTAACATGCTCATTAAAAGCAGTCTACAGCCAATATGGTTAGATGCCAACCAGTATGTTTTAAGGGAAATTCCATATAAGCATTGAAAGCAAATGAAGATATTGCTGCTTTAGGCAAGACCTCTTTGGTGACACAAGTTCAATAAAACAGATTTACCAGCTGTAGCTTGCCTCTTAGCTTCCTGCTCCTGCCAGGAAACCAATGATCCCTTGAAGCCTGCTCCACTCCACTGGACCATCTCCTTACTAAAATGTCATACATTTTGTGGGCAATTGGTTTACAATTCAAAGGTAATTCAGCTGCATGTATGAAAATCAGCTGGGCCTTGGTGGCTGACATTAAGCATCTTGAGAAATGAGGTTGGTGGCTTCAACAAGGGGTTTCTATGAAAGGTGGGGGGGGTAACCTAAGGAGTCTAATGTACAGTATTGGACTGGCAACATGACAGAGTTAGTTACTACTCATAGGATGATTGGTGTCATGTTTTCAGAGTAGGAGGTGCTGTATATAAGGTCTCTGGTGGCTCTGACAGCGGAAGCGGAATAGAGCATCACAGTAAGGAGATGAAGGTTAAAGCGACCAGGTTTTAAAAATGAAATCCAGAGACACCCTTCTGGCTACACCCATTTTTCATAGCATGGGCCAGATGTGGAGTAAAGGCAGGGCTAAAAAAAACAGCCTGCAAAGTGTGCTGTGCCAAATGATTGGTGTGGCTAAGTTGTACTAACATTTGGAATGCAAGAGTCAAGTAGGGGTAACGGGAAGTGTAGAGGTTAAACGTAAGTAAAGCACCTACCAAACAAAAATGCTCCCCTCTTCCCAATGCAACACCCTACCCTCCACATCAAAACCATTTACAGTATAACCATTCCACTTACCTCCCTAAATTCTACTCACCCACAACCACTCACATTTGTTTTCTTTTTGTCACTTATGCTGCAGTTATTACAATGCATGGGCAACAAATAGGTAAATTTGACAATATGTGAGCAACAAACAGGCAGTCGTGAAAATACATAGTCATATGGTTGGAGATTGGGGTGCACCAAGGACTGGTTAGATATGAGGAGATGTTTTAAGTGCAGGGGTCAGTTGTAAGTAATGCAGAGTATAAGGGTTAGGAGAAAATGATGCAAAGTTAAGAGGTGAGCAGTAAGTAGCACAGAAAGCAGAGGTCAGTAGTTATGTAATGTACC